AATTTAGTGCGCGGATATACAACACTAAATGAAAACAAAGCTCAACTTGTAATTATTTTTACTTTTATTATAAACTATTTATTTATGAAATGTTTTTGTTTTTTACATTTAAATTTTTTTTATTCATATTTCTTAGAGAAAAGGTCGGCGGGAATAAAAAAATACAGATTTTCAATTTTTATTTTTTTTCGTTTTTCTTGAAAATTCGGATCGGCGGATCTGTAAACCAACAAAATAAAAAATTCTCGCCTAATGAATAAATTATGCTAGCAGTAGCAGTGAGACCGGTGAGAATCAGGGTGCCTATAGCTGAGCCCGCTCAGATCGCGCGCACTCGCTCTATGCGCTCTGGCTCAGATGCGCTGCTGTATAAAAGTTGGGCCTCCAACAATGCATTTGGGCCAGTGACTAAAAAAATTTACTCTCTCCAAAGAAAAATTTGGGGCCAACCTTCGGCTGGCCCCCATTTCAGGCACTGGATTTATGTAATTAATTCTTATCAGTAGACCTGTGTTTATAATTAGGAGAGCGCCCTAGCCTGTAGAGCGCAAAACTCCTACTTCACCCCCTTCTATCCTTTCCCATTGCCTCGCGCATGTGCAATATCTCCTGAGAAAAATGTTATTTTGCAGAAATTATTCACTTAGCATGAAGAGCGTTTATTCTAGCATCAATTTGCATGATAACATCCCATCAATAGACCTCAATTAAAAAATAGAAGAAGACCTTGCATGTAAGGTGACTAAGGTCCCCGTTGCCTATACCTGCCAGTACAAAATCTGGCAAAGGTAGTGTGTTATTTCCTGAGCAATATCTCACCAGAGGAGTTATATTCTGCAATGAATATCCATTTAATATGGCCAGGGGGTATCTGAGCATAGATTTATTTAATTAATTTTTATCAGTAGACCTGTGTTTATAATTAGGAGAGCGCCCTAGCCTGTAGGGCGCAAAACTCCTACTTCACCCCTTCCCATTCTTTCCCATTGCCTCCCTTGTCCCTCGCTCAGCGTCCTTCCTCTTCTACCGGCCTCAGCCATCTTTGCTGTCGCCTTTCCTCTGTCTCCCACCCTTCTCTCCGTCAGCAAGCTATATGGTGTAGTTTTCATTTGTCTGCACTGCACGTCTGAAACAGTGTTCGCGCATGCGCAATATCTCCTGAGAAAAATGTTATTTTGCAGAAATTATTCACTTAGAATGAAAAGGGGTTATTACCTTCGCCAGAGGCGTGGCGGAGGTTATGTTTTCACCGGCGAATGTTTGAGTGTTGGTTGGTTGGTTGGTTGTGTGTGTGTGTGTGTGTGTGTGTGTGTGTGTGTGTGTGTGTGTGTGTGTGTGTGTGTGTGTGTGTGTGTGTGTGTGTGTGTGTGTGTGTGTGTGTGTGTGTGTGTGTGTGTGTGTGTGTGTGTGTGTGTGTGGCGTGTGCGTGTGCGTGTGCGTGTACGAGTGCATGAGCGTTTGTTCCTCTGTGTATGCGTGTTTGTATGCGAATGCGTGCGCGTGTATGGACGTGTACGTGTACGTGTTCGTGTGAGTACGCGTTCACGTGTGCGTGAGCGTTTGTTCGTCTGTGTGCGAGAGCGTTTGTTCGTCTGTGTATGCGTGTTGGTATGCAAATGCGTGCGCGTGTGTGGACGTGTACGTGTACGTGTTCGTGTGCGTACGCGTGTACGTGTGCGATAGCGTTTGTTCCTCTGTGTATGCGTATTCATATGCGAATGCGTGCGCGTGTGTGGACGTGTACGTGTACGTGTGCGTACGCGTGTACGTGTGCGTGAGCGTGGATCGAAGAAGCGAAACTTCAAGGTTTAATACTCTTTAAAGTCAATTTCACTCACAGTGCAATACGTTAACGTTTATCGTGCAATAGAGAGCGATTTTTCTGAATGACATACAAAATATACGCCAGTGCTTTGGACTTGGATGAGTTACCGCCTTGATTCAGTTTTTTTTTCTCACCACGCTTTTCAGATCAAACATGAGCGGCAGGAATTCAGCGCCGGTTGTGCTCTTCATCCTTCTGCTGGCTCACTGCACGACAAAGGCAATGACTCGCCGCTCCGGCCGTGGTTGGCGTGAAAGCTACTACGTTTGTGTGAAAAACTGCGCCATGTGTGTTAAGCTATGGGACAGCGGACTCTACAACGGTACGAAATGCGTAGACCGCTGTGGGCGACACCGAGGGACGCGCATTGTTGATCCATTTTGCGGCAACCTCCACTTCTTCAACCTTGACAGGAAAGAGCGACTTGGCCTGATGAATTTATGAAGTAATGTTAATCTAACAGATAACAGACACATGAATCACCAATGGGTTCAACTTGCAAAGCAAACTGATTGGAGTTTGAGTTCCAAGATCCAACGGCAGTGATCACATCCCACAAAGGTGCACTTGTCGTGTGATCTAAGCTGAGTATTGTATAATTTATCAATATATTAATACATCGGCCGCAATAAAGAGCGGGAAATGATTTACTTTCCAAACACATGCAGTAGTTGAATCCTACATTTGCAGATGAATCCACTCGTTGCCCACTATCAAGTGATGTTAGGCAGGTCAGGCGTAAACCGGGAAATATTAGCTATTTTTAAGTTATACCCGGATTATACGCTGCTATGTACACACGTTGCGGAATTTCAAAGCTATGGAGCAGCAGTATCAATTCGAATTCATATCAATTCCATTTAAATGTAAAGGTATCGCCAAACAAAGGAAGATTGTATGCGCGCATTTAGACATTTGGCTGTATTTGTGGCGATACCTGATGAATGTAGTGCTTTGCTGAATATAATACATATACTATAACTATAGTTGTAATATATAGTTATATATGCGCACACACACGCGCGCGCACGTACATACACACAAATGCACGCGCGCGCACGCACGCACGCACGCACGCACGCACG